GGAACAGACCATCAATTACTCATATGCAAATTCAAACTGAAGCTGAAGAAAATGAAAACAAGTCCACAAGAGCCAAAATATGAACTTGAATATATCCCACCTGAATTTAGGAATCATCTGGAGAACAGATTAAATATTAAGCACTCAAGGACGAAGACCAGAGAAGTTGTGGGATGACATCAAGAACATCACATTAAGATGACAAGAAAGAAGGAAAATGTCAAAATGGATGTCAGAAGAGACACTGAAACTTGCTCTCCAGCGTAGAGATGCTAAAACAAATGGAAGAAATGGGGAGGTCCAAGAGCTGAACAGAAAATTTCAAAGATCAGCTCGAGAAGACAAAGCCAAATATTACAACAAAATGTGCACAGATTTGGAATCAGAAAACCAAAAAGGAAGAACATGCTCAGCATATCTCAAGCTGGGGGAACTGAAGAAAAAAAAATCAAGCCTTGACTTTTGTTATTGAAAGATTCTCTGAGCAGATTATTGAATGATGCAGAAAGCATCAAGAGAAGATGGAAGGAATACACAGAGTCACTGTACCAAAAGGAAATGGTTAATGTTCAACCATTTCATGATGTACCATATGATCAAGAGCCAATTATATTGAAGGAGGAAGCCCAAGGTGCATTGAAGGAATTGGCAAAGAACAAAGGCACCAGGAATTGATGGAATAAAAATTGAAATGTTTCAAGAAAGTGAGGCGGCACAGGAGGCACTCACTTATCTCTGCCAAGAAATTTGGAGGACACCTATTTAGCTGAATGATTGGAAGACATCTATATTTGTGCCCATTACAAAGAGAGGTGACCTAAAGGTATGCAGAAATCATCGGATAATCTTTTTTGACATCTCATGCGAGTAAAGTTTTACTAAAGGTAATACAGAAATGGGTGCAAGCATACATTGACAGAGAACTTCCAGATGTTCAAGCCAGATTCAGAAGAGGCCGTGGAATGAGGGATATCATTGCTGATGTCTGATGGATCTTGGCTGAAAGTAGAGAATATCAGAAAGATGTTTACCTGTGCTTTATTGACTACACAAGGCTTTCAATGGTATGGATCATGACAAGCTATGGACAACATTGCGAAGTATGAGTATTCCGGAACACTTAATTGTGCTCATGAGGATTCTGTACCTAGACCAAGAAGCAGTTGTTCGAACAGAACATAGGAACACTGAATGGTTTAAAATTGGGAAAGGTGTGCGACAAGGTTGTATTCTTTCACCATACTTATTCAAACTGCACGTTGAGCAAATAATCTGAGAAGCTGGGTTCTATGAAGAAAAACATGGCATCAGGATTGGAGGAAGACTCATTAACAACCTGCGATATGCAGATGATACA